TAATTCAAAATTGCCAAAATTATAAATTTCCTAATTTATCTATTGATTTGTGGTTAATATTGGTTCTCACATTTACCACAAACTAATTAGTTCTCATTAGATTAGGCCCCTATATATATATATATATATATATATATATGGGAACGATCAAACGTAAACTACTCATATTTGTGTAAACCATGCAAATCACATTTATTCGTCAATTCCATTGTTTAATCTTATGAAATTGTTTCATATAATATATTTTTTATGAAGTTGTTTCAATGTTTTAATGAGATTGTTTCATGTATTGCTTTAAAATTAATATAATGAATATGATAATATCCATAATTAACACTCTCCACAGTAAAAATGACTAATCAACGTTTCATAATTCCAAAAAACTGAAGAAATGAAAATTATGACTGGTTAAATGAGGTTTGTACAAATAACGTTGTTTGCAAAGTATATATATATATATATATATATATATATATAGGGGCACGTTCAAATGAAAACCGTGTATTTCTAAGAACCGTGTAAACCAATTTCGACTAATAGGAAAATTCTATTTTTTTCTAATTAAATTTAATCAATAATGGTATTTCGGTCATTTACAATATTTTCTATTAAATATGCAAGTTATTAATAAATCTTAATTAAGGAAACGAAATAAAGGAAATTGTATAAATGGTAACATTTAAATATTTAATTATATTATAATATTAAAAATTTGAATTTGATATATTGTTATGAGATTGAATCTGCAAACGGGTCTTGAAGATTGAATTGCATTATGAAATGAAATCGTAAATTATGGTTCAAATTAAAAAAAATAATGTTAATGAAACAGGTTTCATGAAGGTGAAATTGGTTCATGTTGTAATTGATTCATGAGTAATATGAAATTGTTTCATGGTGAACCACGTTTCAGTGATTGTGTAGTTGATCCGTTTAGAAGAAAAAATGGAACATGAAATGGGTGCATAATTTATTTGGTTCGTCATGAAATAATTGCATGATGAAACGGGTACATGATGAATCTGCTTCGCGATCTTGAAGATTGTAATATGCTCCAGAATCTTGAAGATTGTAATGATTAAAGGAAAGAATGAATCAAATCATGAGTGAAATAAAAAAATTAATTTACATGAAACAGGTTTCATGAAGGTAAAACTATGTCATGTTGTAACTGATTCATGAGTAATATGAAATCATTTCACGGTGAACCATGTTTCAGTGATGGTGTAGTTGATCCGTTTAGTAGAAAAAATGAAACATGAAACGGGTGCATAACTTATTTCGTTCATCATGAAATAATTACATGATGAAACGGGTACATGATGAATCTGCTTCGGGATCTTGAAGATTGTAATCTGCTCCAGAATCTTGAAGATTGTAAGGAGTAAAGGAAATAATGCATCAAATCATGAATGAAATAAAAAAAATTAATTTACATGAAACAGCTTTCAAGAAGGTGAAACTGGTTAATGGCGTAATTGAACAATGAGTGGTGAACTGCTTTCATGGTGAAACCCGTTTCAGTGATGGTGTAGGTAATCCATTCAGAAGATGAAATGAAAAATGAAACGGGTACATAATGTAGTCGGTTCGTTATGAAATAATTGCAAGATGAAAAATAAATTAGTTTCATTAATAATAATAAATGTTAACGTAAAAATAATAAATTACTTTACAAAAAATAGATTAGTTTTATTAATAATATGATATACATGATATGGTTTCCTTGAATAAATGAATATTTGGTTTTACCCTTTTGCCCTTGTCGGTATTATAAAATGTATATTCAATTTTTTTTATTTTTTAATTTATTTAAATAACCTTGATTAACCTTAACCATTGATCAAGAAAATGGATGGGTGAGATTGGTTTACACGGTTTACACAAATGGTGGCGGTTTTTATTTAATCGCTCATATATATATATATATATATATATATATATATATATATATATATATATATATAT